CGGATGTTATCACTGAACAGTACTACAATATCCCTTCTGCTGTTTGTTACAGTTAAATGTGTTAAAGGATTGTACAGACATTTTGAAGACCACTGCTCAATATTTTGTCACTGATGGGTTTGATTAAGTTACCGAAATAGAACTGTGCTATTGGTTTCAGTCGCCAACTGATTGATGTTGCGAAGGTGTTCAAACGCTAACCCGGTTTTTCAACCGAAATCTTCAATTCTGATAAAAGCCACCCTTGGCCGTCTCCAGTAGAGTTTGACGAGGCTACCCTTTTATCTCCATTCCTTTTCAGTTTTGTCATAGAGGATGTTCTATGGAATGCTTTGTCCGGTCTGCTAAACGGTGGAGTATAACTCTTCCCAGGGAACAGAGTCCTTGACTTCTAATATGTTGATGACATCACCTCGCCGGGTGATAACACAGACAGTCCAAAACGCTTTGAACCGCTTGGCAATCGAGGTATCCAGGTATGATATGTGCTTTGCGCCGTACAAATGCAAAGTGCTTGTTCAAGACTGACAAGAACTTGTGCCTGTGATGATCAGCTGGAAGAAGTTGAGAACTTTAAGTACTTCGGGAGCTTGATCGCAGCTGGTGTTGATGTTGGGGAGGAGATCACATTACGAATAGCGAAAGCTAAAGTAGATTTCGCCAATTTGCGACACATGGCGCTAACATGACATCCGTTTGTCCCCTAAGGGAAGGGTGTACATCGCCGCGGTTCGTAGTGTTCTGCTTTACGGTTGCGAGACTTGGTCTCTCCGAGAGAAAGATGCTCATCCACTTTCTGTATTCGACCACCGATGTCTCCGAAGCATTGTTCGTGTCTGTTCGAAACATCGGGTAAGCAATGACGAGGTTTGTCGTCGTGTGTTAGGTGCGCTTATTTTTCTTAAAAAAGTAATCATTCTACACGGCCTCCGTTGGCTTGGTCACATATTGCAAATGCCTGCCTGTCTGCTGTGCTCTTTTTGCACATGCTGAGTAAGGTTGGTAGAAACGTCGCGGCGGTCTGATCGTGATATGGCGTAAAGGTATGAAAACGCCAGCTCCATCTTTGGCTTCGTTTGGTGTAGCTCGCCTTCCATGTTGGGGTCAAGGGGATGAGGATTGTCGTTGGTTAGAGACGCTGAGAGATATGACCCAGAGTCGAAGTCTGGAGCGAATACTGTGCGGCCTGTCTGTCGAAATTTCGTGCCCGACAAACTAACAAATTGTTATTCCAGTCATCTATTTTCCATTTTAACTGTTTCACCTTCTTTTCACTGTTCTGTATCCAAGTCTGCCAATCCCGTGTTTTCGTTATTGTTGTGGCATTAGCCATATGCTTTTCCGCAAGCAGGTATATATATATATATATATATATACAACAAAAGCCTCAGCTAAAGATCGCACATCTCCAAACAAGGGATCGTTTGCTTAGATTCATTATTCATTTACCGGTTGTACCGTTTAAGATGCCAACGCTTATTCGACGTCGAATCTGCGGTCTCAGAAATCTGAATTTGTCATTTGAAACTTAACCAAATCCTCCATTACCACATGAAATCTGAATTTCTTCCGATCTCTAGCCTAGGACAGATTATCTTGATTGCTGGTCTCTTTATTAGGCCACATAAACCAGAGCACACTTTTACTTGCCAAGATTGTGCAAACTAAATTAAACTAAAAAGAAATTATTTTATTACTCAGTGCTGCTGCTGCTTTAAAGTGGGTTTCGTCTCATAATGACGCTGAGGCAGAATTTACCTCCTCGGACCTATTTTTACGCATAGGTTATGCTCTTCCTCTGTTATTTCTTCACCACAGAATCAAATGCTTCCATCTTATCCGACGAGGATAAAGCCGAGGTCGATCTACGCTCAATTTACGTTGGAAATGTAAGCGAATCTTCAATATAATAAACCGAAACGTCGATTTTTTTTTAGGTTGATTATGGGTCTACCGCTGATGAGCTCGAAGCCCACTTCCGTGCTTGCGGCCCGATTAATCGTGTAACCATCTTATGCAATAAATACACAGGTCAACCTAAGGGTTTCGCCTACATTGAATTCGACACACGTGATGCTGTCGAGGCAGCAATGGCTCTCGACGATTCCTCCTTCCGTAATCGCCAACTCAAAGTTCTTCCGAAGCGGACCAATGTACCTGGCATGTCTTTGACCAATCGACCTCCGTATTTACGTGGACGTGGTCGAGGTCGAGGACTTCCTGGCGGGTATCGTCCAGTCTATTATGGTGGTGGCCGAATGCGTTTTCCACGTACACGGTAAGTTCCTCATATACGTGTTTACAAATGTATGTATTTGTTGTTATGTCTCATTTATTCTGATCTATGATAAAGGATTTAAACCTCTTGATTGAACTCGTGTTTAGATTGCTTAGAGCAATCTTCTTTCGATGTGCCCAGCTGTGACCGAAAATTTCTCTTTCACCATTTTTTCAGGCGACGTGGTTTTCATTACTTTGCTCCTTACTGAACACCGGTTGAGAGGAACAAGATGTAAAAAAAAGAAAAGAAAAAAATGTAACAAAAGAACAAAAACAAAAAAAGAAAAAAGACCGGTATTATCGTATCGCCTACATTTTTCTCCTCCCATTCGTGCTCTGTTCTCTTGCACTTTTCCCCTTTGTGTTCCTGTATCTAGCTGCATTTGTACGCATCCATGCAATAAATAATTGTCTGCGTTTCTCTGTCTTCGTTCCGTCTCGTTTACAGGCCTTACATCTGCTCTCTTTTGAAACGTATCGATGGTATTGTTGGAATCACACGATCAATTCCACCTGATCGTCTCGATTCCTTGCGTCGTTCCCACCATGGATGTTCCGTTGATTGTTTTCGTCTACGACGAAACACTTGTTCACATTACTGTGTGCGGGTCTTTGTATACTATATTCCTGGCTTTTCAATATATAACATCAGAAATGTCACGGTTCGTTATCTTTACAGTTTCGTTACCTTGGTTCGTCCGATCAAGGTTTTTTTTCATTCGTGGTTTTTCCAATTACACACAATTGCTTGATAAACCGCGTGGGCAGTAAACCTCATCAGCACAGAGACCTGCAGTTCACTCACGACAACCGGTTCAATATCATGCTTATGAGGTTATTTATCCCAGATCCATGGGTTTAGCTTGCCGGTTATCATGAACCAATTGTAGTATGTCCTGACTAGGGGTTTTTCCTTATCTGGTATTCATGAAAAAAAATATTGTGTATTTATAAACATAAGCTCTGGGTCTTGAAATAGCAAACTACCTCAGGTTCTAATGCTGCGAAAGTGGTACCAAGCCGGACGAAAGCAAAGCCACCTGCCCCCAGAGTTGCACTACGGTGACTGAGTTCGAAACCCTGGTCTCGGCGCCACCTTGAACCGCGTGATCACCACCAGCCACCCTTCGAAGTGGGTCAAGAAAATCTGGTGGGGCTAATGTATTTAGGATAGCAGAGATCAGAGCAAAAGTTCCAATAGCCAGCGAGGTGTTCACACTTTGTACAAGAGACCATTCACCACGTTGTTGGCGATGATTATCCTTGTAGGTGTACATAATGAAGATTTTGTGAAGGTTATTAAACCACTATCACCACGATTTCGTAGTAAGCGGTTTCCATCCAACCGGTGTATATCAAAGAAATCCAATGTTAGGGACAGAGCTCACAAAACCCGTTAAGCCACGCACGGATCAGCTTCACACCACAAGCGCGCTCACGACAAAAGGAAAATGTCCGCTGTTGAACCGTCACATCAGCCTCCTGATGGAAGAGAGTGGTGATAGGCTGACTTCGACCAGACAGACGAGGTACTGAATTTGAAACGTCACATTGTGGTCTTGTTCTTGGACGAACCATAAATTTGATACGATCCCAAAGTTTTTAAACCGTTCAAGAACGGTGCGGAGCTATGCTAGCCGAGAGGACGCTCAAGTGGAGACATGTCAGTAAAAATCTCGAGACAACGAGCCGCTAGGCTCAAAACTTTGAACGTATTTGCTCCGTTAAGTAAATCAAAGGATACTGATAAGTGTTCAAACATACGAGGGGTTGTAGCTACCAATGTAGGAATGTTGAATGATGTTACTGGAAAGTGACCACAAACAAGTTTATATTGGGAAATGTGGTTTTGTTGTAGGCTGAAAGCATACACGCGACATATCTCATGAATATTCGAGATGAAATACACGTCTCTTGCGGGGCTACACTTTCCGTTGTTCGGTAGTCATCATAAAGGAGCCGATGTCGGAATATAAGCGGATATCAGGAATCAGAAACACACTTGTAATCGAAACAAGGATTCATTACACCGTAAACCATCAACCAGGAAATTGACGAAGGAAGTGATGCTTAAATTATGGAACGGAACCGAGTGGATCAAATAATATAAATATAATATAGGGGGGCGTTAGTGGCCAAGTGGTTATGTCACCCATTTGTGACTCGGAAGTCCCAGATTCGAACCGCTCTGCCGCCACCGCCTGTGTTCCCTATTTCTGTATTTCCCTAGGCAACCTATATATGGCTACAGTCTCCTCGAATGTTGACTGTACATTTGCAAATTCAATAAATAAAAAGGCAGTAAAAATACATTCATTTTACTTATTTTCGCTGTAAAAGAAATATCAACGACCAAACGTTTATTTATGATTGATACTGTTCAAAATCGATTCTCGTAGCTCGGGTAGACTGAATTCTATTTCGCCTATTCGCTAAGCTTGGCAATTTGTTTGCAAACGTTTCATCACCAGCCGAGGTGACATTATCAGTGCTTGTGAAGTGTCAGTGTTCTGCTGGTACCCGTTCGTTTGTGTGTGGTCTTCTCCATCAACTATTTTGGTACCCGGTTCTCGCTGTGTACGACACGCATTTGTGCAATGACGGTGTTGTCTAGCCTAGTAACGGAACGTCATCAGACACGTACCTTCCAAAACAAAACATCTTTACGGTAGCTACCAATACAGAAAATCGCATCCAACACATTCAATCTCTGTGACAGTGCAATGAATTGTGTTCGGGAATACGAATCAACGATTGGCATCCACGGACTGGATCACGCGAGCACTGGACCGCACCGGCACTAGCACGCAATATCCCACGGAATTGAGA